GTATTAGTCCGATGTTTCTATTTCAGAGCAAACCCAAAGAGAAAGAGCAAGCTGCTAGGGACGAAAAATTCAAACTCGGAGGATGGGGAAAGGGGGAACAGGGTGGTGTCTCAAGTTGGCCGGATGTTAGTTGGATTATTTACTGACGCTGCCTCTGGGCACTAGACCCCTTGCCAAGTTTGGAGCACAGCAAGATGAATCAGACTTGAATTCTGGCCCAGGGACACATGGCATTTGCTGAGAAGCGAAAGGAGCAAATGCAGTGCCCAGGCAGAGCCCATAGTTTCCGGGTGTGGTTTTGAGTGGGTAAGGCTGTGAAGTGCGCACTCCATGCGGGTCTCTAGTTGCTCGGATCCTTGCTGTGTATGCTGAGGGACTGTGAACGCTGGGAATGAATGGCTTGGTGTGCAGAGGACACAAGCTCTGTCTCAACTGTTCACTGTGGAATCATAAGTCGAGAGGGGAGGCCTGAGGCCACTGCTGCTAAACCACCCCTAAGCCTTCCCCTAACTCTATGCTTCTCAGAACACAGCAGTTTCTGTAAAACAAAAAGCAGTAGGTTTCAGCCACTTTTAGTTTCTTTTTCGTTATTTCTCTTATGATTATGTAATTATGGCGATTTTTTTAAACAAAGGAAAAGGTTTGATACATCCCTATCAAATATTCAAAACAATTTTTTTTTCCCCAAAGAAGTATGTTGCCCAGACCCAGGCAACCTTTTTGTCTTCATAGAATCCATTATTCATACCAAAGGCTGAGGTCGGCCTTTTAACTAGAGCTCTGTCATTATGGTCTTAGGCCACTAAATCAGATAGTCTGGTAGTTTAAGCCCTTCTCGCTCCTATTTAAATAGGAAGTATCAATTTTCAGTCACATCCTTGAAGGATGAAGTGAAAAGTTTCCAGGATCTTCTTAAAATTTATTATTATTTTCATCTTGCAAAGAGGCAAGTGTTGTGGCTCATGGTCGTAATCCCAACCAAGAGGCCAAGGCAGGAGGATTGCCGGGAGTTTCAGACCAGTAAGGGCTACAGTCAGTCTCTCTCTCTCTCTCTCTCTCTCACACACACACACACACACACACAACCCCCCCAAAGTAAAGCAAGAAAGAAAATGTACTAAGATAAAGGCCAATAGTAATATAGTAATAGTTGTTTTGAAAACATATGTGTGTGTAAAATATGAAATTTTGTTTCTATTGCAGGAAAAGTTTGGGTATATAACCTTTCATTGTTTCTTTTTCTATGCATCTTTAAACACTTTCTAGTTTTTTCTACATTATTAATTTTCCTTATAATTATTATTAGTAAATACATATTGAGAGCTCTGTGTGCCAAACCCTTTGCTATTTTCCTGCGTTGTGTCATACAACCCAAAAAGTAAACTATTGATGTTTTCATTATTAAACCTGAGGCTCAGAGAAAAATAGACCCAGGGTTGTCCCCTTAACCACTGTGGCATCTTCCAAAGAGCCATGAGGTCTAGAATTATAGTGCCTGCTGAAAGGCAGAAGAAACCAAATACCTTTGTTATCAGGGAGCTCACCTGATTCTGGAACATTCCTCATTCTAAATGGAACTGTCCTCTTTGGTTCTGCAGTGGATGGGTGAGTCAGAGCACTGCTGGAGGCTGTTTGTCTAGATCCTCAGTCAGCAGGTGATAGTTTCTTGTGATGATATGTGGAAATATGCCTGGGATGTTACCTAGGGTAACGACTGTGTTCAAAAGGTGCTGTTCAGTGTTTTCATTCCTGTGATGAGGAGGCCCCCAAGGAACATTGGAGGACTATATCAGCCCTCTGGTGTTGAGAACTGGCTCAGTTGAGGATAGGGGATTGAAAGGGAAGACCTTTGGGGGATGTGCTGTAGATCCAGAAATGCTAGGAAGGATTGCCTATCCCAAGATGAAGAGAGATTAAGAGGGATTAAGATAGAGACAGATGTGCATATTGGGTCCTGAAGAGAGAAGGCTTGGAAGTCAGAAGTTTGATCTTCAAACAGGGCTTGGTGGTGCAAGTTCCATCCCAGTAATAGGGAGGACGAGGCAGGAGGATCATGAATTTGAGGCCAGCCTCATCGTCTCATCAACTGTACAATAAGACTAAAACAACAGTACCTACCTCACAGTCCTGCCAAGAAGATCTGTGTTGCATAGGCAGAGCTTTTATTATTATTTTTATTTTTTATTATTTTATTTATTTATTTATTTATTTATTTATTTATTTATTTTTGTCTTTTTGAGACAGGGTCTCCCTGTAGCCCCAGCTGGCCTGGAAAACTGAAACTCACTATGTAGACCAGGCTGGCCTTGAACTCACAGAGATCCACCTGCCTTTGCCTCCTGAGTGCTAGGATTAAAGGCATGCGCCACCATGCCCAGCCTATTATTTTATTTTTTTAAATATTTTATTTATTATTTTTATTTTATGTGTATGAGTGTACTGCCTGCATGTATGTGAGTGCACCCATGCCGTGCAACACTGCAGAGGTCAGAAGAGGCCTTCGGATTCCTGTGGAACTGGAGTTAAGGATGGTTCATAGCCGCCATGTGGGAGCTGGGACTTGAACCCGAGTCCTCTGCAAGAGCAGTCAGTGCTCTTAACCTCTGAGCCATCTCTCCAGCCCTGGCAGAGCTTTTAGAATGGTGTCAGCTTCCTAGGTTTGCAGCATAAAATGTTACTCATTTCTTATCATTGGTAGCTTTATGAAAGAGACAGCTGAGAAAAAGCATCTGTAGATCAGTGACTCCACCCACCAGAGTCTAGTCTCTATCTTCTTTCCGCTTCTTCAAGACTCAGCTTTGCTATCAAAACACTGTGCCTTTGTCTCTCACCCCGGGTCAACTGAACCCTGCAGCTGTGCTTAGGTTCTCGTTAACCCCAAAGGCTTGGAAATCTACAGTCACACACTGTTCCTTGACTTGTTTTTGTCATTATTATTTTCATTCTCCATGTTGCCATATTGGTGAGAGCAAAAAGTATAAATGAGCATAAGGTCTCAGTACCCTCACATGAGACAGCTTTTAGCCTAGTATATGGAACAAGTTATTCTGAGGAATTTGGGAGCATATCAACACATAGCAGCAACATACTCCCAAAGGAACTGTTAACTGGTTCAATGGTGTCAGCATAACTATGGCTATGTGAGTATAATTCAGGGGGCTGGAGAGATGGCTCAGTGGTTAAGCATGCTGGCTGCTCTTGCAGAGGACCCAGGTTCAGTTCTCAGCACCCTCATGGTGGATGACAACCATCCATAACTCCAGTTCCAGGGGATCTGACACTCTCTTTTGACCTCCTTGGGTATTGCACTCACGTGGTGCACTTACATACATACAGGCAAAATACTCATACATATAAAATATAAAATACAACAGAAAAAGATTATGATTCAGACTCTTTGCTAATTCATTTGACCTTGAATAATCTTGGTGAAATACTCTATTGTGAGGCTTCTCAACCTTGGCACTATTGGCACTTTGGACTTCATGATTCTTTGTTGTGAAATCCTGTGTATTTAGACATTAAGCACCTCTCTGTCCTCTATCCACTAGATACCAGTGGCACACACCCTCCAGTCAGGAGAGTGAAAAATGTCTCCAAAGGCTGGGGTTATAGCTCAGTTGGTACAGTGCTTGTCAAACATGCATGAAGGGACTACATCAGCTAGATGTCATAGTGTGTGCCTGCAATCACAAAACTCAGGAGGCAGAGGCAGGAGGAAGATCTGAAGTTCGAAGTCATTCTTGGCTATCTGTCAAGTTTGAGACCAGTTAAGGCTACATGATAC